TGGGATTGAAGTCCACCCGTCTTCAGGTTGCCAAGGTTGAGAAACACCGAGTTAGGGGATTAAGTAGGATGCTCTTAATTAGCCGAGAAACATTTGCCAATCTCCAATCAGTCTTAAGGGATATGGATCAAGTTTCCACCATTACTCACCTTTCAATCTTTTATTAGCCGGATTCTTGGAGCCTAACTGGGGCCATGCTAATTTTTCTTAGCGACCCACCAGGGTTTCACTTGGTTTAAATAAACGGCAGATTTGACACAGACTGCGCAACTGATGCTTCCCTCTTCAACTCAAGAATGACGCGTGGCATTTTCCCATCACTTTAGGTCATTCATTCCAGCAGAGAGATTTATACCAATAGAAGAGAAGATATGAAGCTCAGGGGTGAACTGCAGGGTCCTTGGTGCTCTCTGAGCTTGGTTGTTTCCTTGCAGACGTTTTGTTTACAATCAAAGTTTAGTTTAGACGTTTAGGCAAGTAATGAATTGTCTGCAATCCAACCACCAAGCTCAGAGAGCATCAAGGACTCCACCGAGATATTGATAATCAGATTCTTTCTGGGCTAACTTTTCCATACCGACCCTTCAGAAGATTTTCTTTAAGTCAAGTTGTGGCCGTTGAAATAAAACAAAAAACAGAAGATAGGTCAAGATTTTTCTGTCCAAAGTTACAAGAGGGTGTGGTGAAATAACGTCTCTCTAAATTTCTTCAAGGGGTTAAAATATCACAAAGGAGTTCTGAATCGTCCCAGGGTCGAATTGACGCTGTGGTTTAGATGTTGGACTAGGACTGGGGAGACCTCCAAGTAAAAGCTAAACATAAACAAATAAATAAAACCTAGCCCATCATGGAAAGGTCATGGTCAGTCCATCTCCACCAGAATTTTACCCAGCACGGATATCACATCGCTCCCAACTGGAAGGTGTCTGGTAGCACCTTTTCTGACCAAAGACATTTTATTAAAAGGCATAAACCCACAAACGTTTATGCCTTTTAATAAATGGGGAGAGTCAGAAAAGGTGCTACTGCATCCTTCTGACGTCTTGCCATGGTAGGCTAACTCGGCTCTCCTCCTACAATGCTCCCAACTGGAGTAATTCGATCCAATTTCAACATCGTCATCCACAACAATTTCCCTATTAAAATTCGATGCTCTATTGCTACCCTTATTCCAAGGCCAGGCCACCATCACTTGCATGTTTCTGTGCCGGAGAAAATCTAGACTGAAAAGCAGTCCGGAGCAAGCAGATAACTATGTGAATATTAGGAAAAAGTCATTTAAGGAACCAGGCTCCTTTCTCGCCCACCATGTTCCTGCCTCCTCTGTGCTCCCAAAACACTTTGCGCTGTGTTTTCAACAGCTCGAAGGCTGGCATGGCGAACCCTTGGACCTTCCCCGCCCTTGGCCTTTTGTACAGCTCAATGACCCCCGAACTCAAACATTTTAAGAGTTTGTCATCAACTTGCTGAGATAACGCTATTCAATCCTCTAGAGATAAGAGCCAAAGAAAGACTAGAAAGACTGTACACAAACCCAGGCCATGTGATTTCGTTAATCTGTGCCTTAAAAACTCTCCGAGGGGAGACTATAAAGTTGCCAATGCAGAATCCGCTCCTGCTTTCAGGGCATTCCAAGGAGGAAGTGAAATGTTACCGAAGTTTGATCTCTACAGCTCTTGGGTAACAGTTGACCCTTTTTACCTGCCAACCTTGGACTAAAAAGATAACAGCTGTTGACACGGCAGGTTTTTTTTTAACCATTACATTAAAAACAGAGCCACTAGAATTGACATTTAAAAAAAGAAACTTTCAGCAGAGTTAGCACAATCTGAAGAAAGATAGACGAGGACAGACTTTTTGTTTCTTAATAGTTCGCCCAATCTCTTTCAGAAGGACAAAATGCCATCCTCAAATCTTGGCAGCTGTTGTCTTTTCCCCAAACTCACATTTTTCTAGGTCTGTTTCTACAACGGTGAGCTTGGAATGACTTTATCTGGTTCATCGAGTAATGGGAGAGTGACGCAGGTGGCATATCCCGCGAAAGATAAAAAAGCACTGGAGCAGCACCGTCCAATCTTCTGCAAAGCGCTGCTGAATCTGGAGTATCTGACGATAAGCCAAAGTCCATCGCGGTTCTAAGGGAGCTCAGAAGGGAGCCAGGGAACAGAGCTGATCTTTCAGCTTTCAGCAGCAAACCCAACTTCCTGGTCCTCCTCGTCCTGTGACCGAGCTGCATGTTTAAAGAGAGGCTGCTTAGGCAAACCAGCTCTTCCTATTTACTCTCAGGAGCTGCAAGATAACAAACTTTCTGCCCTCACTCCAATTAGATAATCATTTCCCTCTTTTGTCTTAGCAGGGCCCAATGCCTGATAGACCCTTAATCCACATTAATAAGTAACCTCCCTTCCTGATGCTTAAACTAAGGGGGGGGCAGAGAGAGAGAGGTTGAAGGGCTATAAAACTTGCCCAACGAAAGCAACCCCCCCCCTTAGTCCATGGACTACCCACTTCGCCGCAATCCAGACTCACCAAGGTGTGCTGAGGGGTTGGATCTCCAATGCGGTGAGAATAGGGACCGTTTAATAAACCTCTATTCATTGTAAGCATTCTGCTGTCATTCCTAGCGTTCACCTTTTCTGATATCCAGCCTGCAACTACAATAGCGGGAAACCCTTACCTATGCAAAGATCTGCTTAAAAATGAGGCTGAGTAGCGTTTCTACCATGGAACTCGGACCTTCACTGCCATGTATGGTAAACAGAGTAAGAAGAACGAACCTTTGGGGGGCTTCAGAATCCACCGGCCCACCCAAGGAGACCCTTTTTCAGGAATGCCTCGCTCAGTCTGTTATAATTCCAGGCCGCCTATCCGGATAGTCGCAACTCATCTCTTATTCCATCAGTTTTATCCATTTTATTAACTTACCGCTTGGTATGCAATAATAAAATCCAATATCGAATATTTGAAATGAATTACTCAACTTCCCCTCCAGTGAGCACTAACAACTTTACGCACGCATTAAACAGTATCTCACACTCCCAACGGGTCTGCCCCAGTGAGAATGGAAATGTAGAGACCATCCCTCGCCATCAACTTCATGGCCCACCTTAATGCACTGCACATACCATATACTCAGAAGCTCTTCTGAAAAGGAAAGTTTCGTGGTCAGATTCAGAGTAAAATTGAATTCCTACTAAAAATGCAGAAGATGGCTGTTGCATGGAGGTTAGCAGGTTTTGCTCAAGCCATTGCTGAAATTCACAAATGCTCCCACAAACGTGTTTTTTAATGGCTATTATCCTGAATTGTGTAATATTTAAGATTTTGCATTATTATTATTATTATTATTATTATTATTATTATTATTATTATTTACTGTTATAACCTATAGCAGTGT